TATCATTATCTCCAAAGGCACCCAGCCTTCATCCAGTTTGATCTGTTCCTTTAAAAATTTGTCTCGTGGCAAATTGAAGTCACCAAAATAATACTCAATTTGATGACAGATTTTGGCCTTGAGAGCAGCCATTTTTTCATTATCACCATTTTCAGCCATTGTGGCTATCTTTAAGGTCCCGGTCCCACAAAGCCACGCCGCACAAACACCAACAGCGACAACAACGTAGGATTTTCTCTTTTATTGTCCTCTTTTTGATTTCCTGGATTTCAGCTTTTAATTATTTCCTTCCTTCTACTTTTTTTGTGTTTATTTTTTTCTCTTCCTAGCTTCTTGAGGTGTGAGCTTAGATTATAGATTTGAGACCACTCTCCTTTTCCTAATATATGGACTCAGTGCTACAAATTTCATTTTAAGTACTCAGCTCCAAATTTTTATTTGCATCAATATTTCACTTTTATTTTTTTTCCATCTTGACTTCTTCTCTGACCCATGAATTATTTAGAAGTATATTGTTTAATTTCATGTGTTTGGATATTTTTTTGTTACCTTTCCGTTATTGACTTCCAATTTATTTCCACTATGGTCAGAAATCATAGTTTGTATGAATTAAAATATTTTTAAAGGTTTATCTTAGGATCCAATATATATTCTAACATAATGAGCACAGCATGTGAGCTTGAAAATATTCTGCATGCTTTTGTTGTTTTTTAATGTGTTCTGTAGATTGTATGGGTAGATGTTATTATTCACTTCTATTTCCTTGCTAACACTTTGTCTATTTCTCCTTTTAGTTCTGGGTTTTTTTCCTTCATATATTTTGCAACTCTGTTGTACAGTGCATATATATTTAAGGTTATTATGTTTTCCTGTTGAATTGACCCTTTTATCATTATGTAATGGCCTTCTTTGTCTTTGCCTCTTTATTTCTGGTAAATTTTTGCTGTGAAGTCCTACATTGTGTGATATTTTTTCAGCTTTATTGAGATATAAATGACAAAATTGTAAGATATTTAAAGTGTACATAATTTTATACATGTATACATTGTGAAAGAATACCCCTCATTGAGTTATTTAACACATCCATAACCTCACATATATATTCCCTCCCTTTTTGGGGGGAAAGCACTTAAGTTCTACTTTGTTAACAAATTTTAATTATACAGTATGATGTTATCAACTATAGCCACCATGTTATACATTAGATTCTCAGATCTTTTTCATCTTAAAGTTGTATCCTTTTACCATTACCCTCCCCCAGCCCCTAGCAACCATTTTTCCTCCTCCTCCTCCTTCTTCTTCTTCTTTCTTCTTCTTCTTCTTCTTTCTTCTTCTTCTTCTTTCTTCTTTCTTCTTCTTCTTCTTCTTCTTCTTCCTTCTTTCTTTCTTCTTTCTTCTTTCTTTCTTCTTTCTTCTTTCTTTCTTCTTTCTTCTTTCTTTCTTCTTTCTTTCTTCTTCTTCAGAATCCACATATAAGTGATACCAGGCAGTATTTGCCTTTCTCTGTCTGGCTTATTTCACTTAGCAAAATGCCCTCCAGTTTCATCCATGTTAAAACAAATGAGAATTCCTTTATTTTT